AAGCAGAACTTCTCCTGTGAGCAAAAAGAACAAGCAGAACTTCTCCTTTGAGCAAAAAGAACAATAAACTATAACTTCAGAAAGCAAACACGGAGTTCTCAACTTTTCTTTTTTTTTTAAAAACTCACTCATGTCTTAGTTTGAGTTGTGAAATCTGTTAAATTATTTGGGCGGCACGATGGCTCAGTTGGTAGAGCTGCTGCCTCTCAGTGAGCACGTTGCCCCGGTTCAAATCCAGACAGGGGACATTTCTGGGTGGAGTTTGCATGTTCTCTCCGTGTTGCGTGGGTTTTCTCCAGGTTCTCCAGTTTCCTCCCACAAACAATACGTGACCCCACGGTGACCCGAAAAGGATGGACGGATGAATAGAAGGAGTGTCAGAGATTTATTTGTCATATATATAATATAATAATAATAATAATGTATATATAATATAATAATAATAATAAAATAATAATATATATAATATAATAATATATATATATATATATATATATATATATATATATATATATATATACATATATACATATATACATATATACAATCTGATCTAAGATGGCTGCCACAGCTAATCACACAAAGTGTCGAGTCCTTTCAAACGTTCCTCACGAACTTCTCCAGTTGTTGTTTTGTGGCTGAGCTGAAGCATTTAAAGAGATTTCTGTCACTGAGCTCCGATTCGAGGAAAGCAAGCTGAGATCTGTTGTTTCAAGTTTCCTGCAAAGTTCAGAATCAGTTCCAGGAAACTGTTTAAAGTAGAACACTTGCGTAAACAGAGACTTCCCTCCCAGTCTGACCTGCTTTACAGCTCACAGGCTGAACTTGGGATTGTATGTTGAAGAACATGAGAAGGATAAGAACGAGAACAAGAAGAAGAAGAACAACAACAACAACAACAACAACAACAACAACAACAACAACAGCAGCAAACAAAAATATAAAAACAAGGGCTAACAAGGGCTAAAAATACCACTGATACCTACTCTCTTTCTGGCCAATGTCCGCTCACTGGATAACAAAGACGACTTGTGACAACTGAGGATGAGTGTTTCTTCGATGAAGAACTGTGTTGTTCTTTGCCTAACAGAAACCTGGCTAAAGAACAACATGCCGGACTCAGCCTTCCAGATCAATGGTCTTCAGTTATTCTGAGCGGATCGTGACCATCGGTCGGGGGGGACTCTGTGTGATCGTGAAAGAATGAAGGAAGCTGTGACTTGGGAGCTCTGTCCTGAGGAGCTTCTATGGCTGTGGTGGAGAGCGTTCTCTGCATCTGCATCACCTTGTGACATGGCAGAGGGAGGCTGCGACTGGGGAGCAGCCTTCCCACCGTCCCAGACCTCTTCACATCACGATGCAGGGGGAAGGCGTTCCGCATCATGAAGGACTCCACTCATCCTGCACACAGTCTGTTCCAGCCCCCCCTTCCCTCAAGCAGGTGGCTGAGGAGCATTCAGAGCAGCTGTCAGTGCAGAACTCGAGTTGCACTTAATTCAGCCTCATCTCACTTTTTTTAAAACTTTATTTATGCATGCGCACATGCGTGCGTGTGTGTACATGTGTATATATTTATACTCTTTTGTATTTATTTGTTTGTTAATTGTTAGGCTTCTTGATCTGGGACCTGAGTCTGAATTTTGTACAATAAACATGCAAATGTGAGCTGGTATGACAATAACGATCTTTGAATCCTTGAAGAACACGAAGAAGAACAAGGAGGAGGAGGAGGAGGCTCCTCCCCATCATCTGGCTGATGAAAGCCGCCCTGTGATTTTAACAGAAGCTGGTGTTTGTCAAACAGCTGTGAGGAGCTCAAGTCTCAGCTCTGTATTATTTGCTGCTGTTTAATAAACCGTGGTTTCAAAGGGTTGGAGCAAAGGAGAACGTGATCCAGAACCCAAGAAGGATCACAAGGACGGGTTTTCTGTTGTGGACACTCGTCAGGTTTATCTGAACTTTTCTCACTTCCCCTGCGCTCACAGCAGCTGAACAGCTTCAGACCGTTTCCCTGAACATTTACAGAACACGATGAATGAGCCGGGCTTCCGGTCCAGTCCAAACCGGTCTTTTAGTGTTAGACTAAAGGAGCGGGGTCAGAGGTCAAGAACAGAAAACCAGAAGCATCAGTTCTGAAGGAGAACTCGAGTGTTGAAGCGTGCGGGGACATTTTAATTTATCAAACCTTTTTGTTTTTAAATACAACGTCCAGAACAGGTCAGAACCGTGTGTCTCGTACCGAGGTAGAGTGGCGAGTTCTTCCGGCTGGCGTAGTCATCGATGTAGGAGATGCCGAACGGTTGGATGGGGACAGCGCCAATGCCCAGCAGTAGCTGACCCAGAAGCAGCAGGGGGTAGACCACCTGGTGGGAGGGGCTATCCACCTCCTGGCACGTCTCATTGGAGGGACGAGGAGATGTCCCAGACAGACAGAGACGGGTGTTGTTGTCTCCTGAGTCTGACGGGAAACAGAACATCGTGAGGTCCCAGTAACAACCAGCAGTCGTCATGGAAACCAGACCATGTGCGGGCCTCACAGCTTAGCCGGTCCGTGAAGTTGTACTGCTCGCTCACGAAGTGCGGCATCGCCATCATCAGCGACGCCAAACAGGCCAGCAGAGCTCCGCCCCCGATGTACCGCGGTCGGTGGACCCGACTGCCGAAGAAACTGACGAAGACGATGAGGACGATGTTTCCCACCTGGACCCAAACACAGAAATTTACAACAAAAACATATTTTTTAAAGGAATCCCTCTTTTCTTTTGTTCCACTGATGTCACACTTTTTGTTCTGCAATTAATAAAATAATCACGACTCAAACCACAAAGGAAAGGAGCGTTAAGAGCTAAAATTAGCATCAAACAGCTAAATAGTAGCCGAAAAAGTATAAAATGTTGAAATTAGCCAAAAAAAGCTGATAACAGCATAACAAGCTGAAATTAGCAGAAAAAAAATAATTAGACTGAAAGCAGCAGAAATTACCATGAAAAACTTGATCTGAAAACAGCTGAAATTAGTTAAAAAATGCTAGAAAGGTAGCTAAAAGAGTAGAACAAGCTTAAATTAGCAGAAGAAAGCATAAATAATATATGTTTGCCCAAATGGGCTGAAAGACGCAGAAATGCACAAGAAGAGCACAAAAAAGTGGAAATTATCAGAAAAAAAGCCAAAATAAGCAAAAAACTGCTGAAAAGTAGCTGAAAAAGCAAAGAAGCTTAAATTACCAGAGGGAAGTAGAGAGCACATTTTTGCTGAATTTGGTTGAAAAAAGCTGAACTGTGTTGAATAGAAAGGGGAATTAGCAGAAAAAGCTAAATTTAACATAAAACTTAAAAATTAGTAGCTGAAATAATTAAGACCAGCAGAAATAAGTTGAAAGGAGCATAACCAGCTGAAATTAGCACAAAGAAGTTAAACAGGCTAAAAGTAGCAAAAATGACCATGAAAAACATGAATTTATCTGAAAACAGCTGCAATTAACAAAAAAAGCTAAAAAGCTAGCTGAAAAGGTAGAACAAGCTGAAATAAGCAGAAGAAAGCAGAAATAACACGTTTGCCCAATAATGCTGAAAGAAGCAGAAATTAGCTCCAAAAAGTGGAACTGATTTGAAAATAGCTGAAATTAGCAAAAAAAAAAAAAAAAAAAAAAAAAACAGAAAAAAAAAAAAAAAAAAAAAAAAAAAAAAAAAAACCCAGCTGAAACGTAGCTAAAACAGCAAAAAAAGCTGAAATTTCAAGACGGAAGTGGAGAGCACACATTTTATCTGAATGAGGCTGAAAAAGGTTGAAACCCATTAAAACAATGTGGAATTAGTTCAAAAAGCTAAAATAAGCATAAAAAGCTAAATAGCAGCTGAAATTACAGAAAAAGCTGAAATAGCAGAAAAAGCTGAAATTAGCGGAAAGAAGTTAGACGAAGCCCAAAAATTTTGTAGTTAGCAGAAAGAATCTGAAAGGAGCACAAAACAGCTGAAATGAGCTGAAAGTAGCTGAAAGAAGGTTTAAATTAGCAGAAGGAAGCTGAAAGCAGCTGAAGCAGAACAAAATGTGAAAAGAGCAGTAAAAGGTTGTAAACAGAGCTAAAGATTTGAAGGATGTAAAATGAGCTCAGTTCATTTTCTATGAGACAAAAAATGTCAGAAAAGGCTAAATATTTCAAACAGCTAAAGTTGCACCAATACCAAAATTCACAGCAGGATTGTCCTGAAAGAGCTGAACGTTTTGATTCATGATTTGTTGAAATAGCAGAAAAATTGTGGAACTAAAACGATGCAGAAAAACATACTTCATCCTGTAGCTGTCTTTTGTTTCGTTTTTATGTAATTTCTTTTATTTACTGTACTTTTTCATTTTATATGCTTTTTTAATGATTGTCTACTGTTGTCATCATTCTTTGTTTAAATCAGGTTTCTCTTGTAAATGAGTCCTCGTGGCTCAATGAGATTAACCTGTAGAAATAAAGATTGAATGAATACTAAATGATTTAAGGTAATTAGAAGAAGAATATGGAATAATAAGAAATTTTTCAATTCAATTAATTTATAAAGCACCAAGTCACAACAGAAGTCGTCTCAGGGACTGAACAGAAACACTCATGTATAAAATAATAATTGAACATTATTTATCTGAGGAGCAGCTTTGAGTTTAACTCCATCACTGAACTCTCATCTTGAACAAGCATGAAGGCGACAGTGGAAAGAAAAACTCCCTCATGAGGAAGAAACCTTTAGCAGAACCAGGATCAGGACAAGAGGACCATCTGCTTCGACTGGCTGGGTTTGTATAACTGTACAACTGTACATAAATGTACTTATACAGCTCCTTTCTATCTTATCGAGATACTCAAAGCTCTTTACAACAATCTGTGCCTCATTTACACATTCATTCAGCACTCTACAGATCTCTACAAAACTAATTGAACAAATCATTCTAAAGAGACTAATCAGAGCTTTATCACATTCATACACCGATGGGACACACATCGAAGGCAACGAGGGGTTCAGTGTCTTGCCCAAGGACACTTCGGCATGTGACTGCTGGTGGATTCGAACCCCCAACTCTTGCATTGGAGGACGACTGCTCTAACCACTCAGCCACAGCTGCCCTCAAATAGACACCTGTCCATTGTCAGAGGCCATGAGAATATAATTAGTAACTTTCATCAGTGCAGATTCAGTGCATGTGGTGAACTCTAAACCCTGACTGAAACTCTTCAAACAGATTATTTCTTTGCAGATGATTACATAACTGACCAGCAACTATTTTCTCTAGAATTTTTTTTAGAGGAAACTTAGATTAGATATAGGTCTATAATTGGCCAGGATTCCTGAGTCAAGGTTATGTTTCTTAAGTAAAAGTTTAATTACAGCAATCTTAAAGCTCTGTGGTACGTAAATGTTTACTGCATTTGAAACAAATTAAGCATATCCAAGACGTGGTTATTAATTTAGGGCAATACATCCTTAAACAGTATGGTTGGGATGGGATCTAGCAGACATGTGGATGGTTTGGATGAAGTTATTATTTTTGACAATTCAGAGCTCAACAGGACAAAAACTGTCCAAACATAAATCAGGTTCTAGTGACATTTTTAGAGTTGTCTCATCTGACACAGAACCAGAGGTGATAGTAGGAATGTTGGTTTGAATTGTTTTCCCTAATTAAAACAAATTTTATTTATAAAGAATTTCATGAAGTCATCACTACTTATAGTTGTAGGGATACATGAATCAACAAAGATAGGATTTTTCATTAGACTAGCTATGGTACTGAAAAGTATTATTAAATATAAATATTAAAGATAAATATAAATATTAACAGGATCACAATAGTGTCAATGCTTCATATTATCTGCTGTTCTTGAACCTTCGGGAGACTTTTCAGCCTCAGCAGTCAACATTATAACTAATTAATTAACTATACCTACATAGTTAGTACTCTGGATAATTACTGGTTCCATGGCTGACCCAGTTGGTCAACGGGGGTGTCAATCAAAAGACATGACCTTTACAGACATTTTGAGACCATGGTGTTCACGTTTGACCCAACCTCATTGAAGGAGGCGAGGATCCCAGACTTCTGGCTGGAGAGGCCGTAACGCCTCTCGATGGTGGAGATGGAGCTCTTCATGTAGCCCGACACCAACAGCTGGGCCAGCTGCAGTAGACTGTGGCAGAACACGAAGAACTGCGGGGACAGAAACAAGACGAGTCAACTCCAACAAACATCTGGACCAACAGAGAAGGTCCAGAACGTACTGATCCAACCCTCCATCCTTCCAAGCAGATAGAGGTTCAGGAAATACAGTATATGTGACCCCCCCCCCCACACACACACAAAAAAAACGTCTGGAGAACTGCTGTTCTGGATCACTTTATGTCATATCTGCGTGTTTCTTCTCTTTTGTTCTTCAACTAAGACTAAGTAAGTTTTATTTTACTCCTTGTCTGTCTGTATTTGGGTCTTATCCAGCACTGACATGTTACCAGATTCAAGTCTGGATCATTGGAAGGAAAGCAGAGAGAGGCGGGACTGCATCAAGACTTTTGCACAGAGTTGTATGTGTTTGAATGAAACAGTCGATTGATCTGAGGCTACAATTCAATTTATTTATATCACTCCAAGTCACAACAGGAGTTATCTCAGGGCCCTGAACAGAAACATTCATATAC